ATAAAATCCCGTATTTTTAAAAACAGAAAAAGTGAAGGAAAGCCATAAAAGCATGCTTACACCAAAATCAGAAAGAAATGAAGTTCTTGATCTGGAATCAATTGAATATTCAGAAGTATCTTTCCAGTAGCATTTGCAAAATTATAAAGCTATCCAGTATATATTTTACTACTAAAAGACAAGGATGTATATGAGAGCTGCCCTCTCAAAAAAAAAAAAAAAAAAAACAAGGATGTACAGAGTATCCTTCATAGAGACACTTTAAAAATATAACTACACCATGAGAAAACTTACTTGAGTGTCAGAATTCAATTTACAATGCTAAAGAACATTTGAAAACTTAAGTCCCTCCATCCTTTGGAGGCCTCAACAGAATTCCAAATTTATTACACTGAAGTAATGACCACTCACAGTAACTGTGACAGAAAAGATCATCTTTTGGTCACACTGGAGTTTATTATATTCATACTGAAGATACAAAGACCGCAAATCTTACAACTTGTCCTCCAAAAAACTGCTGGAAAAGAAACATGTATTTGCTTTGGTCACAACTAAGAAAACCTTATCCATATAAAACATTTGGAGTATTTGCAATATATGCATGTCAATTATCATGCTGTACATCTTAAACTTATGCAGTGCTTTATGTCAGTTATATGTCAGTAAAACTTAAGAGGAAATAACCCACGCTGAGACTAAGGAAAAAAAGTCTCCCTAGGTAATTCAATGTGTTAAAACAGTTTAATTCTACAATGTTATTAATACTGATAGTCATGATGTTCTAAAATCTAACCCACTAAATTAAGTAAAATACTGAAATACAAAAGCAACCTCCAGAGTTAGCTGCATAATCTGTCTCAGAAAAAGCAAGTGGTTGACCACAAGGATTATTCCCACTTTTCTGAATGATCAAATTCATAGATCTTTCTTTTCCTTGCATTAAACTCAAGCAATATGGAAAGACGGAATGAACATTGCTAGAGTAAGAAAACCTAGTTTGACCTTAAACTACAAAATCACCTCGCTCTCCCAGGCTTTAATTTCCTAAAGAATGATACTGTAATTCTACATGACTACCTTTTTAAGTTTAACTGTCTAAAAGGTGTCAACAAAATTATAAGTATATAGCTCCAAGAAAACGTCTGTGCCCTCAAATATCAAAAACCGGGTGTACTGTTGAATGCCACGGTCTATAAATCTCCCCACGTGTAACAAATGAAAGCATTATTCAATTACAATTCAGGGCAATTGTGTATGTGTTTGGGGGAAGGGGAGACTCCTTACCCACTATAAAATAAGACAGAAAATTTACAAGGCAATCATGGTACAAATAAGTCAAACTGGCCATGGGGAATGTGTAAAAATCAATTTTGCTTAGATGAAGGAAGATATATAGACAGTACATTTGAACTTGAACTGGAGTGATGGATAACGTTTTGGTAGATACAATGATGACATTACAGGTAAAGAGAGCAAATATAAACTTGGGAACCACTATGCAAGCCTTCTGACTCTAGGGTACGATGCAGTAATTCTGCCACAGGTAGGGAGGGATCAACACTCAGACAGCTCCAGGCTAGGTAACTGAAGGGCCTTTTGAGTGGCAGATGACTATTTTCAATCCAGTGTTTTAGGAGGCAGTTTGGATGTAGAGAACTGTTTTCCTATAATCATTTACAATCAAAATGCATTCATATATGACTTTTTACAGAAATCCCATAAACAAATGATGGGTAAAAGATACTGGAGGTTAATTAGAAAACTATTGCAAAAATACAAAGGGTCTGAAACAAAAGGGTAAAACTGTTCTTATGACAGGTCTACATAATATTTAAAAATAACACTGCATTTCAAAACTAGGAGCTATAAATCCAAGGTGACAAACTTTCGACCTATCTGAAAAAAAAAATACTGAGAGCTCTTAATATGAAGTTTAAAGAACAGTAATATATGATGGACAGTGACTGCATTGGGGTATGGGTGGGGACTTGATAATATGGGTAAATGTAGTAACCACATTGTTTTTTCATGTGAAACCTTCATAAGAACGTATATCAATAATACCTTAATAAAAAATTTAAAAAAAAAGAACAGTAAGATAGTCTTTCAAAATATGCCTTCCTTCCACCTCATGTAATTAGCCTAATATCTCTCTTCCCCCCCATTCCTCCCTTTCCTCCCTCTCCTCTCTCTCTCTCTCTCTCTCTCTCACTCACACAGACACACACAATCTCTCCTGTAGACATCTCATTCAACATTCTAGGAATTTCCTTCTAACCACTGTAACAAAATTAACGAAGACATTTTATCTCAGAGGTTTAGGCTGAGCTTTCCAGCGTTAAAGACAGAAATGCATTTCTTAAATCTACACTCTGTACTCTGAAGGCCACCTTTCCTTCAAATCTCAATATAGGGTTTCAGATTAAGTCTGCACCTCTAATTACTGATTTGTTAAGCAGTGCTTTTCAATGAACAATTTGTTGTATTTGCTGTTACATTCTTACAAATAAATGTATGAGTAAAAAGTACATTAAAATAAACTACTGTATATATATAGAGGGTGCAACAAGTTTTGAGCCCATTTTAGTTTTGAAACATGCTTCTTAAAAACTGTAAGCAAACAGAAAAGGAACTGCATGATTTTTCTATACATAAGGTCTTAAAATAAGACTAGGTGGGATGCCATTTTGAAACTTCCCAGCAGGAAGTTCAGTTTGGTCAGAGGGCCATTTAAGAAGTACTTCTTCAACTAGTATTTTTTAAATGATTTGTAATTTAGTTTTGTTCTCTTTAAAAGAATTTACCAAGTTTATAAAATACAGCATTTCAAATGATAGGCTACTATTTTTTGTTGATTCAAGAAGGATAAACATTTTACAGAAATGTCTTAAAATATCTTGAGCATTCAATTAGAATTATTGTGGACAAACTCTCTTCCATGGCACTGAGTGTTAGAGATCTGTTACCTCAGAATGAAACAAAGATTTAAGTTCATAAATTTTAGCGGGTAAGAAAGCTTTTCTTACCTAGATCAGAATCTGACCAAAAACACACTTGGACAAAGCAACATTTAAGAATAATTTGAGATTATTCTTTATGCATGTTTCAGAGAGATAGTAAGCATATCCTCTTCTGTGCTTAAGAGCTGTTTTGCTGCTGTTATTTTTAAGTGACTTAACTCAAAGTTACAAGAATGTCACAGTACTTAGCCTGACAAGATTTCATGTTAGAGACCAGGATTTTAAAACCCCACTAAAAACTTACAGACTACAAATTAAGAAATTTAGAGACTAAAAGCCAGGGATCCACTGGGGTGATTTAGGAACCAAGAAAAGTTCAGCTCTGTTCCACCATAATACCACAAACCATGTCTTAAAACTTCTATAATGACAACCTTTAAGCAAGAAAGGGAAAAACTTTCAGGTATTGTCAAGTCTTTGTGACATGATTCTAGACTTAAATTTCCACTGAAGGATTTTGAACCCACTCTTGTTGAGAAGGGACCAACTCTCCAAGTTTTAGCAACATTTCAGCCAAAGCACAACTAGATGCTTAAAACTATTTATCATCAGCTCATTTTCTCCTTCAACAGGGTAACAATTTGCAGTGTCTGAAAACATGATTAAACTGTTGCCATATAACTTATTAATAGCAAAAATATTATGGTGCCAGTCTTTGAAAGGGTAGAATGTCAACCTAGGCCAAAGATCATTAACATATTAAGCCCAAATGCCTCTACAATAACAAGTTTGTTCTTAATCTGCTTGACTATGTACTAATTTTTATTTGTCCTCCCATTTTTTCACGCATGCATCTCTGTTCCTATAAAACACTGTAGTAAGGGATATGTTCAGAATTCTGCACAAAAAAATTCAATTATATTCACTCAATAATTGACAGTTGAATCCTCCAAAGCAATCGAATTACACAGAAGTAGGAAGGAAGTTAAGTATTGTTACTCAACTTTCAAAGTAAACAGAGTTTTGATTAGAGCTCTAAGAAATGTGACATTTGAGTGCCTTCAGGGAAAAAGTTTGCTTCTCAAAGTTTATTCTGAACACATTTTCAAACCCACGGGTCCCAATCATTTTTCTTTCTAACCTAATGGGGGTAATAATTACCAGTGAGCCCTGTTGGTTGAATTCTGGAGAGGAGATGGTATTGAAAAGACTACTCGGGTGTTTGGCCGTAGGTAACCCCTACAAGACGTGGAGTAAATCTCTCACCAGCCTGAGGCCTCCGAGTGCTCAGTTCACTAGGGGGACACTACCCGTGGGTGAGCAGGAATCGCCACTACAGCACAGACACTGGGCCCCGTGGGTGAAGGCCGACCTCGGAGACAGTGCGAGCGCCCGGGCGCGCGAGTGGAACAAAACCTGTGGCAAGCAGCAATAAGGAAGTGCTCGCTCGCGCCCGCCCCTCCCACCGGCAGGCACCCGAAACACCGGGGCTTTGACAACGTGCTGGGGGCGAGCGGAGGGCGACTGGCAGCTCCAGGCCCACGGAAAAGGAACTGGGGCCTCCAACTACTCAAACAAGGTCCCCTCGCCCCGGGAGCTAGGCCTCGGGGGCCGAAGCCCACCGCACTCATCCGGCACCTCGGAGAGAAAGGGGCAGTTGAGGAGCTCGTGGGGTCTGAGGGTGCAACCCGCGCGAAGCGAGGCCCAGCCGCCCGAATTGCCGCCACCGCCGTCCTCAGCGCCTTCAGCCCCGGGCCGGGGGCCACCCCGGGTCTCATCTCGCGCTCTGCCGTCCGTTTCGTGGAACCTTCGCCCCGCTTCTTCTCTCTAGAGCCCAGACTCCGCGAGCCGCGAGGAGAGCCCACCCTCTCCCGCCGCGCCAGTTCCCCGTCCCGACTGCTCCTCACTCCGCGGAGCTCCGGGAGAAGCTCCCAGTGGTCCCGAGACCACCCCCGTTCGTTGCTCCACGGGCATCTGCGTTTCGTAGCTGACACGGACAGCCGGCCCCAACCCCCAACCCCCAACCCCAGCCCACCTCACCTCAGGCGGCTCCGGCAGTGCTGGACACGGGAAACTCTTGGGTCCTCGACGCCGGCTCTCTTCAAACCCCTCTTCGGTTAACTCCGCTTGTTTCTCTACAAAATGGCGCCGGAGGTCGCGCGCTCACGTCGCGGCCTTTCCCCTCCCCGTTCCCATTTCATCATTCGCTGCCCGCCAGAGGAGGGATGGCCCCACCACCAACCAATGATCGTACCCCGCCTGTGGCTTCCACCCAATCACGGTCAGGTGCCCGCGGATTTAAACCAATCACACACTATCACTTGCAGAAGTCAAGGAAGAAACCAGGCTCCTGCTAGCAACTACCAATCCGGACTTCTACTTCGCGGGCTTTGGCCAATTGCCGCTCACCAGTCCCCAGGGATGGCACTTGGAGCCCTCGCGCCTGCGCTCCAGGCGAGGACCAATGGGGACACACAGATAACTTCGATTTGGGGCTTCATGGACTTCCCACCTGCTCTCCCGTTCTTTGGCCAATGGGGGCCTGGCATTACCTCTGAAAAACAATAAATAAGAGAGGAGGCCGTAAACCTTTGCCACCCGTCGCGGGAACTACTTTCAGTTACAGTAAGACAGCCATTCCCCCACCTCCTTCCCCTGGAAGTGTCAAGCCCCGTAGACTGCGAGGTTTCCCAATCTTAAACATGCCCCTCCCCTCGGGTCCCCTTGGCAGGCAACGCCAACTACCAGAAAGCAAGCCAGGATGCATCTGGAGTGGTGGCGTTTTGCACCCCGAGAAATGTAGTCCCCCGCCCTGCCCCATTCCTGTCGCAAAAACAATGCGTCTTTTTCTGTCACTGACTGCGCCCCAGGAGGAGCAGTGCGTGCTGGGGAATGTAGTCTCCCAGGTTTCCACTTGGTCGAACCTTTTGCCTCATTTTCGTCGAGAGAACTTTCTCTTCTAGTTCAGCCTATTGAAGAAGGGTATGAAGCTAAGGTTCTCTTTCGGCTTTTGTAAGTGGTATCAGAAAGGATACTTACGCCCTTTGCTCTCTGGAGAAAAAGCACAGAAAACACGTCTTTTGCTATGATTTATTATCTCTAATAGATAGTAAGATTTTATGGTCACCTTTTCCCAGACAACGGTGAGAAGACAAAGAAGGAAGTGCTCACTGGTTGTCTCTTTCAACTTTTGAAAAAACCTATCCTCACCATCATCCCCATCCTGACGCTAGGCTAAGTAGCTTGTCTCCTAGCCATCTGTCTCATACTATCTTTTGTGACTAGACACTTTTTTTTTTAATTGTGGGGAAAAAAACATAATAAACTTTACCAGCGTAACCATTTACAAATGTACTGTACAGTAGTGTTAACTGTATACATATTGTTGTGTAACTGATCTCTAGAACTTTTTCATCCTGCAAAATTGAAACTCCAGAGCCAAAACAACACCTCATTTCCTCCCTCCAGTCCCTGAAAACCTTGGGGACTTGTAAACACATTCTAGTTTCTATTTCCAAAAGTTTAGATACCTTACATAGGTGGGTGACTTTAGATACCTTACATAGGTGAAATCACACAGTATTTATCTTTTTATGACTGGCTTATTTCACTTAGCATAATGTCCTAAAAATAATTTTTGACACCTGCCTTTGCTTGGTTGGAGACCAACTCTCATCAAACATTTACTGTCTTGTATTTTCAAGCAACTGTAGGAGCCCCAGGGACCCCACATACAGCAAGGGCAAGGATTGCCTAAGGCTTGTTAATAGCTGTATTCCCAGCACCAAGCACAGACAACGTGCTAGATATGTGAACAATGTGGTAGACATGTGAGACAATGTGGTAGACATGTGAGCAAATGAATGTTGAAAAGTCAGGAAACAGAGGACATACAACATTAATGGTAGTGGTAAAAGGGCCCTAAACACACCAGGGATAAGGAATAAGGCCCTTCTATATATAGCTGCTGTACAGAATTGCTAACACCTCTATGCTAGCAGCATTTTGGCCAAGTTTATCAAAACTGAAAGTGCATAGACCCACTAACACAATAATTCCTTGTCTAGGAACTTATTCCACAAGTGAATATTACAAATTTGTACAGAGATGAATGTGTAAAGATACTCACTGACCGTTGTTTATGGGTCCCCAAAAGACTGGAAACAATAGAGAACAGGTAAAATTAATGCATGCTGCTGTCATACATTGGAATACTATGCAGTTTTTTTCAAGTATGAGGTAAATCTATATGTACTGATATGGTATGATTACAAGGTTTATTGTTAGATTAAAAAGGTACAGAATAGATATAAAAAGCATAATCAGTAGTTACCATTTGTGTAGGAAAAAATAACTATCTTTATTTGCATATGAGTAAATGCAAAAAAGGTTTGGAAAGATACACCCACCCCCAACTGGTATCAGTGGCTATCCCCGTGGAGGGGAGTGGAATTAAGAAAGCTAAAGGGAACTATTGCTTTTTATTCTATATATTACTGGACTACTTAAAGGTTTTACAAAGAGGATGTATTCATGTTACTTGTGTAATTTTAATTTTTCATTTTTTTTAAAAGACATACAAATATACCCATAAAAGTCAACTATCTAAGGTTAACTCTGTAATTCTACAACTAGTTCAGATCACAAACATCCGTCTCCTAAAATAAGTTGAAATAAAGCCGAATTGCATTTCCCTACTTCAGCCTGTCTTTGCTAGGAGAATGATTTGCTACTTTATACTGAGACTCTTGAGAGACCCTTGAGCCCACTGCCAGCCCCGCCACTGTACCAACACCACTCGTAGGATTTGACCAGCTGTGGGGACTTAGCCAAGTACCTACAGGATTACAATAGCCTGGAGATCAAAGTCCTTCAACTCTGTGTGGTCAAGAATTCTGGGTGGCTTCTATTCTTAACTAAAGAGTAGAAAGATTCAGAATGTTCAAAGACTGGAAAGGGTAGTAGAGATCACCTGTTGTACGTTTTTCATTTTACTGAAAGACATAGTTGGAAATCTGACCAAACTATTTTACTAGAGACCTTCACAAAGGATTCACTGAATCACCCTATATAAATCAGCAATCATGAGTCCTGGGGTTCAAACATATTTAGAAACAGGATATTTCAGCCAGCTGGTAATTACTCATCTGGTCTCTCCTTAGCCACCTTCTTCCAATCCTTCACCCTCCCATTAATTGTGCATCCCAGGTTCTGGAAGAACTTTACAAATTCTTTTAGTTGTTTCCCACAATAGCTGGAGAGGGAAATATAACTGCTAAGAAACAAAAGCCTTATTGAATTGGGTTGGGGTGGAGGCAAAAATACCTAGAAGACAAAGGACTTTGAGACTTTAAGATATAACCAAACCATGTTATAAAATATTTGGAGGCGCTGGGAAGAAGAGTGAGCAGAAATACAAGGCCTTATTGTTCCATGTTTCTGTTTTTCAGTCCCATTTATCCAATGAATCCGTAAGTTTAATTTACAGCAGTTTTGACTACCTTATGATTCTCTCTCCTATCCAGAACAACTCATTGACAGCCTAACTCTAAATTTTGATCTCCTTGCAGCCCCTCACCACTGCCCAGCTCCAGACCTTCTGACTCTCTGGGCACCCAGGCTTTGGTATTACTTTGGTGGTTCTACCTTGAGGGGAGGTCCCAAGGGAGGAACATTGCAAAGAGCCCACTGAGATCTCAGAAATTCAGAAACCCCAGTACTAAACCAGGCTGTGCCCCTAACTTCCTGTGCAACCTTGGAAAAGTCAGTTCCTCTCCTTGGACCTCTTCCTCTCTTCACTCTTCTGAGAATATTGGACAAGCCTTACATGGTTCCCAAACTGCCCACACTGTAGGCTGTGGCCTCTTAGGTATGCAAGGACTTACTATGGGGTCCTGGAATTCTTATGTGCACATAGACTTTTTTATTCCAAAGTATATCTTTACATTCTGCATCTCACCTACACCTCTGGTCCCTGTGAGGTGGGGACTGAGTTTTTTACCCAGTTTTACAGCTCATAAGACTGAGTCTCAGGGAGGTCACTAGTCCAAGGTCACATGCCCAATCAAGAGTAGAGGATGCATTGGACCCCACCCTTTCTGAGTTCAGGGCTCACATTCTTAGCCACCAACTCTAAGCCACAGTTTGGAAAGCCCCCTGCCTAGGTAGCAGGTGACCTCTTGCTATAATGTTCAATGGCCATTAATGACCAGACAGTTCCCAAACCCAAAAAATATGTGATGCATAGTGTTAACAGGGTGTTATTGTTGAGACAGGTTCTGAAAATACTGCGAGGTGTTTGGTGTTTTCCAGTTAGTTTACGTTTGAATTCTTGAGTTGTCTCCTTAATAGGTAATTTTGTCCCAAGACTTTGTAAGAAGCTTCTGACTTTTTTTTTTTAAGATTACTGATCCCACTGCCTCTTTTCATGAGAACAAGGAAGTAGCTAAGAGGGTAAAAGAAAGGCCACACAGCATCTCTCCTAGTCCATGGTTAGTTTAGAGTGATCTGAACGGTTGCTTGCAGACAAGTTGAGGCAAAGCTGAGAAACCTGCCTGGCTCCAGACAGATGAGTGCACCTAAAGACTATTGCCAGAATTCTGAGCCGGCAGAGCCTGTGATTCTGCTCTGGTTATGTGTATCCTCCCTGATCACGGACCTGTTTGAAATGATTGCCTGAAGCCTAGACCATTAGCCTTTATCTGCCCATTTGGGCCACTGCCTAGGCAGATAGTTCTCATTTAAATATTACAGACTTCTTAGCACCCCCCCCAACTTACATTTCACATTTTTTACCTAAAATCCATCTCTACCATCATCTTAGGGAACCTAGAGAGGCAAACGTCACACCATCTCTCTTGAACTAGAGGTGTGAGGGGGGCAGTATGTTGAGGATTGTACTCCAAACTCCTCTTTCCCATTCCACACCTCCCTCTCTAGGTTGTATGTCCGTCACACATTTAATCTCTTCAAAATGCAGTATAGAGTCTTACAAGTCTGAGAAAAAGATGCCTCTGCCTTTAAAATGTTTACAGTCACTCTTTGGAGGAGCAAAAGACAGACCAGGTAGTAAGTAGCAAATAATCCAAGCCTCTACGTTACCTAAAGAACAAATGGGTCAAAAATCTCAATGCTGGAAGATAATCCAGAAGAAATACTTTTGCCAGGACCCTT